TACTAGGAATCAGAGAATCGCACTGGACCCAAGCTGGACAGCAAAGTCTAGATACGGGAGAGATGCTGCTATACTCCGGTCACGAAGAGTAAAATGCTCCACACACTCAGGGAGTTGCTCTAATGCTGTCCAAAGTAGCACGAACTGCACTTGTAGGATGGGAATCCCACGGATCCAGAATCATCAAAGCATCATTCAAAACAAAGAAGGAGGAGATCACAATGAATATTATCCAATGTTATGCACCCTCCAATGAGAGCAACGACCATATTAAAGATCAATTCTACGAGCAGCTGCAGTCAATCATAGAGAAATGCCCAAGAAACGACCTAATCATTCTGATGTGAGATCTAAACGCCAAAGTCGGAATGGACAACACCATATGTCATGGGACAACATGGACTGGGCGAGAGAAACGAAAATGGAGAAAGATTCGCAAATCTGTGTGCATTCAACAAATTGGTCATAGGCTGCACAATATTTCCACATAAACGTATACACAAAGCTACATGGATCTCACCGGACCACACTACAGAGAACCAGATAGATCATATTTGTATCAATAAAAAATTCCGAAGGACGATGGAAGATGTGAGAACCAGGAGAGGAGCTGATATAGCTTCAGATCACCACCTAGTTGTGGCCAATTTAGAACTGAAGCTAAAAAAACTGGACAACTGGACAAACAGTACTACAAAGGTTCAATACAGCCTTCCTTCGAGATACTAACAAACTTAACGAATTCAAGATAGCTCTCAACATCAGGTTCCAAGCGTACAAGATCTACTGAAGGAAGAAGAAACTACTATAGAGGAAAACTGGAAAGGTATCAAAGACGCATTAACTTCAACGTGTCAAGAGGTTCTGGGCCTAAAGAAGCATCGTCATAAGGAATGGATCTCTATAGAAACACTGGACAAGATCAAAGAAAGGAAGAACGAGAAGACAGCAATTAACAACAGCCGAACACGAGCAGAGAAAGTCCAAGCACAAGCTGAGTACATGGATGCTAACAAGCAAGTGAAGAAGTGCATTAGAGCCGACAAGCAGAAATACGTGGAAGAACTAGCAACGACGGCGGAAAAAGCTGCAAGGGAAGGAAATATGAAACAACTTTACGATACAATGAAGAAACTAGCAGGGAAATATAGTAAACCCGAGAGACCGGTCAGAGACAGAGAAGGCAGGCCAATCACCGAAACTCAAAAACAGCGGGACAGATGGGTAGAGTACTTCAAAAAATCCTGAATAGGTCGACTCCAATGAGTCCACCAGACATTGAAGCAGCACACAGATCTTCCTATAGATGTCAATCCACCAACGATGGAAGAAATCAGAATGGCCGTCAGACAAATCGAGAGCGGGAAAGCAGCAGGACCTGACAATACACCAGCTGAAGCACTGAAGTCAGACATCGAAGTAACTACAAACATGCTTCGCCTTCTATTCAAGAAGATTTGGGAGGAGGAACAAGTGCCAATGGACTGGAAAGAAGGACATCTCATCAAGATTTCAAAGAAAGGAGATCTGAGCGAATGTGAAAACTACAGAGGCATTACACAACTGTCAGTACCAGGGAAAGTCTTTAACAGAGTCTTGCTGAACCAGATGAAAGATGCAGTAGACGCCCAACTTCGAGATCAACAGACTGGATTCTGTAAGGATAGATCGTGCACAAATCAAATCGTGACACTGCAGATCGTCGTCGAACAATCAGTTGAGTGGAACTCGTCACTTTACATCAACTTCATTGATTATGAAAAGGCATTCGACAGTGTAGATAGGAGGACACTATGGAAACTTCTTCGACACTATGGAGTTTCTGAGAAGATTGTCAATATTATCCGGAACTCATACGACAGACTACAGTGCAAGGTCGTGCATGAAGGACAGCTGACAGATGCGTTCCCAGTAAGGACCGAAGTCAGACAAGACTGTCTAGTCTCTCCCTTCCCCTTACTTCTGGTGGTCGACTGGGTCATGAAAACCTCGACATCTGAGGAAAAACACGGCACACAATGAACAGCTCAGAACCAATTAGACGATTTGGACTTCGCAGATGACCTAGCTCTCCCATCGCACACACACGAACAAATGAAAATGAAGACAGCAAGTGTAGCAGCAGACTCTGCATTAGTAGGCCTCAACCTACACAAGGGGGAAACTAAAATCCCCAAATACAACACAGAGAACACTAACGCAATCACACTTAATGGCGAAACTCTGGACGATGTAGAATCCTCCACGTATCTGGGAAGCACCGTCGATGAACAAGGGGGATCAGATGTAGACGTAAAGGTGAGGATCGGCAAAGCAAGGGCCGCATCCCTACAATTGAAGAACATATGGAACTCAAAACAACTTCCAACCAATATCAAAGTGAGAATCTTTAATACGAACGTGAAGATAGTTCTAATGTACGGAGCTGAAACTTGGAGAACTACAACAACCATCATCAAGAAGGTACGAGTATTTACAAACAATTGTCTACACAAGATACTCAATGTCCGTCGTTGGCAGGATACCATCAGCAACAGCCTTCTGTGGGAAAGAACAAACCAGCTTCCAGCTGAAGAGGAAATTAGGAAAAGATGATGGAAATGGTTAGGACATACATTGTAGAAATCACCAAACTGCATCACGAGGCAATCCCTAACTTGGAATCCTGAAGAGAAGCGGAAAAAAGGAAGGCTGAGGAACACATTATGTCAAGAAATAGAAGCAGATATGAAAAGTATGAATAACAACTGAAAGGAGCTGGAAAGGATTGCCCAGGACAGGGTTGGATGTAGAGTGATGGTGGGCGGCCTGTACTCCTTCACGAGAAGTAACAGGCGTAAGCAAGTAAGTAACTAAGATTCTTTTTAACCCGGCATGTTTTGTTCTACAGAACCGTTTGAAATCCCTTCTTCAAATGAAAATAATTACAAGTTTGTTAGATAAATACGATGTATTTAATTTTAAAAATTACGGTAATTGTTAAAGTTGAAATTCAAACCAAGCCTTGAAACTGCATCATTATAATTGATCTTCCTACGTATTATTGGATTATACACTAGGTTCCGGTGGAGTTTTGTTCTTTGAGCTGGATGTTCTCCACACTAGGTTCCTTTTATTTATACCCCTTTGGAAATGAATTATTTGTACTACAGTCACTCTACATATTGTTAAGTGAAATATTTACTGGTGATACTTTTCATTACTTGTCGACCAAGAAACACTTCGCGTTCGGTTTCACAAAACGTGGTTAGCGAAATCGGAAGAAGGAATTGAACTTAGACCAAATATTTGTAAACAACGTTACATTTCTAATTTAATACTATAAACTTTAAAGTCATCAGGCCCATAGACTATTATGTTCTACGACTTTGTCCATCCAATAATATGCTCTTCTATGTTTCACCAAGCAGCTATGAGGGAGAGGACTATGTAGGAAGGTTTGGTACGAAAAGCCGAATATCTTTCCTTACAATTCATGATTTCATCAAAGAGTACAGATTTGGGCAGATAGGAAAATCTAGAGAGCGATATTGGTTGGGCGAATAATCCAGTTAAAATGACCGCCAAACACTTGCCTCGAGCTTATCATGTGACCCAGAGAGAGTATGAAATCCCACGATTTAATCATCTTATTTTGAAGAGTATTTACTCCACTTGAGATATAATGATTGAAGATTAGCAGGATAAAATGAGAATCCATTTAAATCCCTAATGTCAAAAAGATAATAGTATTTTTTTAATGTTATTTAAGGAGTTCTCAATTTAAATCAACAGTGTTTTGACTCAAATTATAAATATTTTTATAATTCTAAAAAGTAAGCACGTGAACATTTTAAATAAACAAAATAAATTAGAGATTTACTAATAACTCATCCCAACAAGAGTATAGACGTTTATTGGATCAAACTGTCTACATTGAAGAAAAGTGGAAATTTCACTTATTTGGTAGTGTTATGCTCTCTGGGTTCATGTAGTTGTGAAGGTTTCATTGTCTTATTTGACATCGTCACCAGCACATACTTCAGAGAAAAGTGAGCTATTAGAATTTTTCCACAATAGACAAACAACTTATTCTATTGACCTAGAGTTTAGTTGGTTGTTGTCTACAAATACCGTAGGCAGTGTAAATTGCAGTAACTGCGACAAACGCTACAAAGGACAAAGTAACCCCTCACTTGTTTACTTGAGCACCAGTTAGCTGTGAAACGCAACAATATAGTTTTACTCATACGGATGTGGAAAACGTTAGATATGATTTTGACTCCAAAAATTTTGAAGTATTCGATAGATGAGTCTAAAAGTAAACTAGGGAGGTTTTAGACGCCTGCGATCCCCGGTTTAGTATCAATTTATGGACATTTCTACATCAACCAAATCTATCAGCCAATAAGAGGAAGGACTGATCAGTGAAAATTCAGGAATAGGTTTAGTAAAAAAAACGATTAAATCAGCACACAAACAATAGGCATACAATCATAGATAACAACCGATAAAACTCTAGGTCAGCAGAATAAATTGTTGGCCTATTGTGGAGAAATTCTAATAGCTCACTTCTCACTGAAGCATGTACTGGTGACGATGTCTAATAAAACGATGAGACCTTCACAACTGCATCATTCAGATTAGAGAACACAAAACCAACATGCACATCTTAAGACACAAATGAACATTATCATTTCGAATTCAATTTAAATTGAAGCGTCTTAAAAGAAAGCAAACTAATAAGCGGTTTGATGTGTTCTTTGAATTCACCCACCTTAAAATGAATTTAGCTCCTATACAGGAAATTATCGTTAGCTAAAGATTTAATCTCAGATGCATTGGGATAGATTTAATGTAAACCATCTTCGTTATGAGTAATGAATAGTTTGATTTAGAAAATTATTTACTATGGATGTATACCTCAATAAACCTACATTTTTATTAAATTAGTCTACCACACATTGTATAAACACTAGCTATTTCAGAAATTTTTATAATTAATCAAAGTTGAAACTTACCAGTAGGTGAATAGAATTCCATTTTTTCCAGTAGAATTTACATTGTGTGTGGTGTTCATTTGTTATAATCTGAAGGGCTATAGAACAGTAGGTATACAGATATGTGTTACTTAGTGAAATAAAAACGATTACTTAGATAATAAGCATAAACTTACTTATTCAACAGTTGAGATCGTGAGTCATTTGAAACCAGACCATCATGGAAAACCTCAAAACACTGGACGGCCGTTCCGTCCCATTGTGTAACTCCTCAACTGTGTGCATCCACGATCCCGCCTTGCGGGATCCGAACACAGGACCTGTCAGTCTCGCTTAACCAACTAGACCACTGAGCCGGCATCCAATGGCGCTAATATCTAACTTCAACTAATACACGAAATTGAGCGACACATCCACCATTGTCACCAGTGAGATACTATCTCACAACAGACCCTGTTTAACTCCACTGGTCACAGCTTCTCACTAGAACTCCAGGATATACATCTTGAAACCAGTCACTAGTGAGCATATGTTGATTAGTATCAGAAGGGGTTTTGTGGAGATTGTAGTAATTTTAGAAGTTGAGCTGATGAGTCAATTGAAGATAGACCACTATGGAAAACCTAGAAGCACTGGACGGCCGTTTTGTCCTATTGTGGGACTCCTCAGCAGTGCGCATCCACGATCATGATCTCAACTATTGAAATTACTACAATCTTTACAAAACCCTTTCTGATACTGATACATTATTCATAAAAATTTAAAATGTTTCTCATACATAGAGCTAGGTGTTCAGTTCTTCAGAAATGGTATCAACATTTTGACAAAATTATCAACATGGACATTTTTATTATAAGTAATATTTAATAAACAAATGTTTTTTAGAGAGTAAAGTGTTCATCATGATTAACGAATTCATCACTATCCTAATGAAAAAAGCTTATAGTTTATGTGATTTTATAATCATCAAATAGTTTCTATTATGTTTCATTAAAAACAGAAAGTCATTAGAAATGAAAAGTTTTGATTATCGAACTTTGATGAAGTATTTCGATCCTATACGTCTAGTGGCTTAATTATTTTTGAACTATTCTACCAAACATTTTGATCAGATTGTATTCTCTAAGCTGAATAGTGTCGTTGTCTTTCTAGATGTTACTAGAAGAATAAACTTTAGAATTATTTTTATTAGGTTTGTAGGCTTAAAGTATCTAGGTAAACATATTTCCAGATATTTTTTTAGGTTTTCACAGCTATGAAATTAGGAATAATCTAAATTTGTCCATTAGTAGATTCCTTTAAATGGTGATTTGGAGATTATTATTATGAATATACTTTACATTTGAATGTCCGAGTATTTTGTTTACGATATATAACAGGTACGTAATACAGTATTTCTCTTCTTTAATAGATTTAACTCAAAATAGTTTATATCAGTTCATCACTGAGTAAAATGTATTGAACTTATTGTGGCTAGTGAATGATGAAAATTTTTTTAAAGCAAATGAGATAAAATATTACAGTAGAAAATTAGGTCAACGTACAATGGTTTACCTTATTGATCGAAAAGTACACTTATCAGTTACTCACATGTATTTAATATACCCGGTTGTTGGAAATAACTAACAGTTAGATTCAAAGACTTGTTCGAAGTTTTTAGAAATAATAAAGGATAATGTTCCTCCTCGAAAACATGTGGCCATGTAACAATAAGTTGATGATCGGTAGTTGAATTATACCCATGATTCATGGTTACTATCAGCTGTGTGTTACCTGTAGATTTGGATATTTTGCTTAGAATATTTATAGAACCCTATATTTTGAAAAAAATGTAAAAGGAGCGAAGGAACCGATTGTGAAATGTAATAAACGAAATCAAATGTCCAAGGTCTGTTACCATTCATTAGGAAATATAGCTGATTTATAACTAACAAAAATTGAGTTTAAATTTTCTGATCGGGTTTAGTATGACAGGTATCAACCAGTGGTTTTAGACATTAGGTGACATAATTCAAAATCGGTTGAGCTGTATTGTCAGTTTGATATTACTCCATACCTTTCATTACTGACCTGAAATTTACATATGTTTCGCTTTCAGCGTTAATAAATGTATTTGCTTTATATAATTAATTTCCTGTTTTTTCCTTGTTATTTTCTTTCAGAATATATTCAACAAAATCTTCATTAGTATTATTTGTTTAAATTTTACTATTATTTGGTTGGGTTCATGAATCAATTGATGTTAGACTACCATTGAGAACCTGGAAGCACTAGACGGCTGTTTCGTTCTAATATGGAATTCTTCAACAGTGAACACCTACGATCCAGCAAACGGAATTCGAACCCAGGACCTATCGGTCTCGCGCACGAGTGCTTAACTTCTAGACCACTGAGCCGGCGTCTAATGGTGTTAATGTTTAACTCCAACCAATTATTATTATTATATTATCATTAATCAATTTCTACTCTTATTTAAAATGATCTCCATTCATCTAATTGCAAAATCATGCCTGACTCTTTCCTCTTGTCGTTGTTGTGTTTTTCACCTTTAGCTCCGTATCAACCCTAATGTTTCGAGTTAGGTTTATTCATTACACATGAATGCTAACACAAAATATTTATTTGTCGCAATATCTCACATAAATGAATGAAAGTGAATTTATCAAAATTCAGTTGGTTTATTTATTTTATTTCCTTTTAAGGGTTATAAATTCAGTATAATAAGTTCACATAACATAAGTACAGATCAGTTTCACACTATTGCTAATAAAGTGGACTTATTAAAACCAGGGGTCGATAGAATTGGTTCACCATTGAAAACGAGACAAATAAAACACATTTTTTGATCTTATAAGCAGGTATATGTCCTTACACATGATACCGATTGATCACATGCATTTCAACGCTTATGATCACCTCGTCTTAATGAAAGCTAACACAAATTTCTAATGATAATTATAAAGTCCGAGTAGCTTGTTGAAATTCATAAGTTTCCAGTTGAGTTATTTTCTCTACTATATTGGGCGGAGACTTGGAAAACTACGAAAGCAATCATCCAGAAGATACAAGTGTTTATTCACAGCTGTCTACGCAGAATACTTCAGATCTGTTGGCCAAATACTATCAGCAACAACCTACTGTGTGAGGGAATAAACTAGATTCCAGCGAAGGAAGAAATCACGAAGAAGCGATGGAAGTGGATAGGACACCCATTGAGGAAAGTACCCAACTACGTCATAAAGCAAGTCGTCACTTAGAATCCTCAAGGCCAAAGGAGAAGAGGAAGACCAAAGAACAAGTACACCGAGAAATGGACACATATAAGATAAAAATGAACAACAGTTGTATAGAACTAGAAAAGAAGGCTCAGGACAGAGTGGGATGTATAATGCTAGTGGATAGCCTGTGCTCTATTTGGAGTAAAAGACGAAAGTAAGTAACCAGGTAAGTATGTAAGTAATAAATGTCCCGTTTTTCATTCAGCTGTAAAAACATTTTCCAATATTAATAACAATCCAGTTTAACAGCATTTAAAATGAAAATAATCTACTTGTTTCAAAATGTTTGTTTCTAGATTAAAACCAATATATTGCAATCTTTCCATGTGTTCGTCTCTTTTCTCACCGGTATATAGAATATAATAATTCTGATAAGTAGTAAATTTAATTCGAATATTATTTTTTCCTTTAGGATTTGTCATATTAATTGATTCATATATGACTGTTTTATTTTTATTAATATTATTCGTTTCATTTATTATAAATTGATTTGATTCAATAGAATAAGTTAATTTCCTTAAAAATGTTCGAATAATTATTGATTTTTTACCATTTTCTGATAAATATTCAATATTTATTTCACTATTATTATTATTATTTGAAATGTTCGAAATCAATAAACTGATAAATTGATTTTTATGTAAATAATTTTTTAATATAGTAAAATTGATTAATTTTTGTTTATTTTTTAAATTGAATATAGAAATGAAATTGTTTTGATTTATTAAATCATATTTTGTATAAACTTGAATATAGAGATTTTCTGAATCATCATTTATTTTATTCATATTCATATCAATAATATATCGAATGATTGTTTTAGTTATAGGATTAAGATTCACATGTATATTGGTGTTATAAGTAGTATTTTTATATATTTGTAAATAACTTTTGATTATCATAATTTTATTTTGATTATTTATACTATTCGCCTGTGATATAAGATTTGATTGATTAATATTATTATTATATAATAAATTCTTAATACATCCATAATAATCCAAGCTGGTTATTAATTGCTTGAATGAAATATTTTGTTTCCTCATTGAAAATAAATAATTGATAGATGGAATAAATGATAAATTAGTAGATACATTCATGTTTATTATTGAAATTTGATAAATTTGTTGAAATTCAATAGTATTATATAATTGAAATTTAAATATAAAATCAATAAGTTTAGGAATTATTACGATAAAATCGATTAAATTATTTTCATTATTTATAAATAAAGTTTTATTGGTAATCTGTTGTACATTTTGTTTTGTATAATTCAAATGATTAGTAGTATTATATAATAATAATGAAATAAATTTCATGATATTTGATTTAAAAATTATAAACTTTTCAATGTTCAATATAAATAAGGACTGTGATACATCATAATTTATGATTGCATATTTTTCATTATATTTAAATATAATTGAATAATTAGATTGTTTATAAATATGAAATTCAATAAAACAATTTTGATTTTGTTTAAATTTTATCCATTTACTGTTTGAATATATTTCATAATTTAAAAACAATAATAAATAGTTACTTTTAATTAACTTAATTTGTAATTGATAATAAATTAATTGAATACTATTTATTGAATAATTAAATATTGTTTTAAACCTAAACTGATTATCAATAATACTATTATTATTTTCAAAATATATATTCATTTCATTTATTTGTTGTTTAATTAATATTGGTATATTTGAATTAAAATTTAAATTAAATAAATTAAACAAATTGTTTTTGTCTTTATTTGAATGAATTAAATTGAATAATAAATTATAATAACAATTATTATTATTATTATTGAGTAATTGTAAATGTTGTTTTAATTGATAAATGTTAATTTGTTTATTTAATTGATTTATTTCGAAAGTTTGTACAAAATTATTTAATTGTTTTTGTTTATTAAGTAATGAAATATTTATAAAATGGTAATATGAAGAATTTTTTACAATTTTTCTAATATCTAATAATAATTTATATTTTTTATGAATATTAATTAAAATCGTTAAATTATTATTATTGATTTGTATTGAATTCATTTGAATATTAATTGACTGATTACAATTAGTAGTATGATTAAATTCAATTAAATTGTTAAATGTTTCATTAGTAGTTATAGGTTGAATGGATTTATTTACTGTCATTGTAATATAAGGTAATATTATTAATGGTGTTAATAATTGAATAGATACAGTTTTAGCTTGTATATTAGTTTCATTATCAAATGTTTGTATATAAGATATATTAAAAAGGTTCCATTCACTATATTTATCTGTGTTTTTGATTATAATAAAATATTGTAATGGTTTAGAATGAACATGTAGTGTATTATTATCATTATTATTATTAAAAGGTAACATAATTGGGTATATTTTGATTAGCATCAAAATTTTAGGTAAATATGGCTGAATTTCCATTGTACCATTTAACATCCAATCAATATTACTTACAGATATACTACTCGTTAATTGAATATCAATAAATTGAATATTAGTAAAGTTAATTGGAATAATGTTTATAATAACCTGAAAATGATCAAAATCATCTAATTGTAAATAAACATTTAAAATTGTATTATTATTTATTTTATTACAAAATTGATAAGAAATCAAATCAGTTTGTTGTTTATATATAGATTCTATTAAATATCTAGTATGAATTGTTTGATTTTGACAATAACTAAATTCAATATAATTCCATATCATTGAATTATGTAATTGTTTTTTATAAATATATGTTGTATTTATAAGTTTAATATCAATATGATAAAATGAAATGATAATATTTCCATAATAATTATATTGGTATATAGTAGTATTCGATTTGATTTTAATGATTTCAGTCATATTTCCATCAATTCTATTATTCCATATATGATCAGTTAAATTATAATAAATATTTAAATTATTATTAAAATGATTATGAATCCATGTTAAATAGATAGATGAATTCCAATTACCTATAAATTCCTCATGATATTCAGTATTCATAGTATTTTGTAAACATTTATAAGATAATATACTATAATGTGTACGGTATACATTTGTATTCCATTGTAAATATATATTCTGAAGTATATTCAAAGATTTAATTAACTTATTTTCATATATAAATGATTGATTAAAATAATAAAATATTGCTGATTGATTCATTGAAATTAATAGATTTTCATAAATGATAGAAGAAGATTTATTGATTTTTAATTGTTCTTGTATTGTTAATCTTAAATGATTCCATGGAATAAATAGGCTAATATTTGAATAAATAGGCAATAATAAATTCTCAATATATTGAATATCAAAATTTAGATGAAAATAAGGATTATTTAAATAAACAGTAGAAATTTGAAATTTTGTTTGATTCCTTTGTAATAAATGAATATATTCTATTATATTATGATTAACTAAACCAGGTTGTCCAATTTTAAATAAAATATCAAGTTGATCATTATTTTTATATTGTATAATAAATAATTCAATTTGATAACCTTTTGTACCACGACCTTCATAAAAACGATATCCAATGATACAATGACTAATGAAATCTATTGATTTCTCATTATTACTTGTATCCAAATGATATTGAATCATACTATTCATCATTTCATATCCAATATAATAACCAATTAATTGTGAATTTAAACTAATTTCTAAATTACCATGTTTATAATATTCATCATGTTTAAACATTATTCTTATACGTATTGGTGTACCAGGACCTAATGAATTATTTGTATTATATTCAATATATATTTCAAATAACTTTTCATTTGTATTTAATTGTAAAACATAATTATTATTTAAATAAAATCCATTCAACCAATTATTTATTATAAATGATTGAATTGACAACATATTAGAACCTTCAAAAGAATAATTATGATTCCATTTATGTTTAAAATGATAAATAAATTTACCACATGATGGAATCATACAATTTATGATTAAATATTGTGAATGATTTACTGATTTCCAATAAATCATTAAATTATTTTGTATATTCAATTGTGTGTTTGTTTTAAAACTTAGATGAATTATTGATTTATTATTAAAATCATAATTCATTTGTAATTGAATATTATTGTTGAATTGATTATTTAAATAAGCATTTAATAATTCAAAATGTATATCACTTTTTAATTTTTCTATATTCAATTTTAATTTACCCATCATATTTTTATTTATTTTATAATTAGATAAATAAAAATGAATTTTGCTTTCACATATCAGTTGAATATATAATGGTAATAATTTGATATGATAATATAATTGTATAATGAATTCTAATTGTAAAATAATTTCTTCATTTTGTGTTATATTACTTTTAATGAAAGTTAATTCAGTAGTATTTGATGCATTTAATCTTTTAATTTGATATAAAATAGATAATTTTTGTTCATCTAATTTAAAGATGATTTGATTTTTTATAATAAAATATTTTATATGATTAAAGTAGATTAAATGATCTAATGTTATTCCACTATATAAATCTATTGGTATAATATCATATATAGTTATAATTTGTAGTAATTTTAAATTTGGCCATTGTAATATAAATTCATGTAAATTACGCCATGGTTGTAACCAACTTTTAATGGAATAAATTTTTTGTTCATATTGATTATTATATTCCATAAGTATTAATGATAATAATTGATTTTCAATATTATGTAATAAAATTAATTTAATAGATTCATTCATTAATTTAGAATAAATATTAGTTGTACTGTATAATCTATTTATCATTCCAATATCAGTTAATTTCCATTCTAGTTGATTGTTTAGAATGAAACCAATCTTCTAATTTAAAAAATGAAATAAAATAAAATAAAACGAAAATTAACTGAAGATTAAAAGTATCAGTTGAGTTATTGTATATATAGTTTGAGGATTTGTGGAGATTGTAGTATTTTCATAGTTGAGTTTACGAGTCGATCTAAGTTAGATTGTAGTGTCGGTTATTATGTCAAGACCACAAACGATGGCTGTTACTAAATGAAATCTGACAAATCTTGCATAAGGACAGAGAAGCCTGGTGGTCGAAGCGTGCTAATGAGCTGGAAGCAGCAGCTGCATCTGGTAACTACCGGAAGCTCTTCCAACTCATCCAAGCCACTGGCAGCAAGACGTCTGATGCGAGCGAAACAATCTGTGAGAATAACGGGATGCCAATCACTAACATCCATCGACGTCTTGGACGATGAGCAGAATTTTTCGAAGGGCAGTTCAACTGGCCTGCTGCTCCGGCACCACCGGTCAGACTGTCCTGCCCTCCATGGCCGATAACGACTGATGCACCAAATAAAGCGGAAGTTCGCAAGGAACTCCAAGTCACCAGGCACAGATGATTTACCTCTAGCTCTTTTTAAAGATGGTGGTGACTTTTTGACTAAGAAATTGACGATGTTGTTTACAAAGGTTTGGGAACTAGAGAGTGTACCAACGTCATGGAATGAGTCGATAGTTGACCCTATCTTTGAAAAGGGTTTACGTCGTTCCTGTAACAACTATCGAAGGATAAGTGTACTTCCGATTGCGTCCAAGCTATTGGCTTCCGTCATACTTCGTAGGTCGTTCAAAGCCCGA